CGAAAAGTGTATCTCCCTTTATATCTGCTATTCATACCCGTATTTCTACCCTTTGGACATTTTCAAATTCATTTTGTTCATTGTCCTCTTCTCTTTTCTCTATCAGAATGAATACTTTATAACTCTTGACCATATAGTACATATTTATGTAATCAATGAGAATCTGGCATCAAACATGCTTCAAAATGAATGCCAACATTGTACATTGTTCAAATCTACAATCGAGATATAAAAAAATTAAATTCACTTATTGAAATCATTACAAGAAACAAAGGAAAGGTGTCACGATATGAAACCATTTGTTCGATTTTTAACATACACATCAGTCCGCCAAACTAGTCAGAGCAAGGGTAAAATTGAACTCTCCGCATAGCTTATGTAGCGCCTTCAGCTTGTGGAAAAAAATTCTTACTGTTACTAAGCAAGTTCAATAAATGTCAGATTTGGCGTCATCCTCGCTAGAACGTACACTACAATGTGCCGATCTTCTTCAGTGTATCTAAGACATATAAATTTATCTTCGAATAAAAACAACAGGATTCAAGTGTTTCACGATGCAAATATGTTTGGAACGAGAACACATCATAAAAAATCCTGTTGGCCAGATATGGTTGCAGAATGCTGCAAAACGAATAATTGTGAATTAGAAAATTAACCTTCAATAAGCATATCATTTTAGCTGTAAAACATATACTTTGTGTACAAAAATACAATCATATAGATATATTAATGCTACTTGTTGTTTTTAAATGCTTGGCGTTTTTTTTTTTTTTTGGTTTTCAAATATTTTTCTTCCATTTAATGTCATAAAAACACGATTAGTCTGTAAATATTCGTGAAACAATACAATTCTAGGCAGACGGAGTTGATAAATGTTCTAATGGCTTTGACCATTGCTAATCCACCATTGTTTTCTTCGGTTACGAAGGTAAAGGGGTTGTGTTTAACACAAGTATATTGCTTTTAAAAAATCACTTACAAACTTCATGGAAAAATATTCATGGAAAAGAATCAAATTTCACATTTTTTTCTAATAATTTAGAATATTGGTCATCACTTTTACTCAAATTTTACCTACACTTTAACAGTTTTAAATCCCACTGTCTCATACAAAAGTTTACATTGATGAATAACAACATAGAATAGAAAACGACCGATAAGTTTGCTTATTTAGACAACCAAATATAGCATTGCTTGTCTAAGATAATAGTAAAGTGTATCAATGTGTGGGATTCCTGTTTGATTGGCGAAGAGCAACTGTCAATCAAAGCTTATAAAGAAGTCAATTGGATAGTTGTTGCCAGATAGCAGAGGTGCACACTTTGTATGGCTGGTCCATGGTACAGTTGCGCTCATACAGATGGTACTCCATACATTTGCCCACTAGTGTTTTCGGGCTAGAAATACAGTTTATTTACAAATCACTCAAAATATGAACTAATGTTTGTTTCGAAATGATCAGATTTGATTATAAATATTTTTATTATTGAAATAAGCTAAATAATATTTCTGTCACCAAAAAGAGGATGCTTGAATCGAAATTTGAAATAGTTTTAAATATCCCTGGTATCAAACAGTTAATAAGAATTGTGAAAATGAAACAGAGATATTTTGCAAATACATACATACATACATACATACATACATACATACATACATACATACATACATACATACATACATACATACATACATACATACATACATACATACATACATACATACATACATACATACATACATACATACATACATACATACATACATGTAGTTGGATTTGAAGTCCAAGAGGCAATTGTTTAAGTGAGAGACTACTATGTATTCTTGTGTTACAACATCTAGAATAATTAGAGATTCTAGTCCAATATAATGTCCTTTCCTATCCAGAACATTCGCCTCGGATGCGGGAGGTCTGTGGTTCGAACACCGGGCGAGTCATACTAAGGACTTCTATACATCGTACTCAGCTTTAAATGGTTAGTTTTAAGACTTGTCGACCTGGTGTCCGGATAATGTGATTGGATAGTCAGGGTGCTACATGTCTGCAGCATGATAACCCATTGCTAGGCATCACTATAATCTACAACACTCCATAACCCATTGCTGAACATCATAATAATATACCACATTGCATGATAATCTATTGCTAGGCATCACTACCATATTGCATGATAACCCATTGCTAAACATCACTATAATCTACCACATTGCATCATAACCCATTGCTAGACATCACTAAAATCTACCACACTGCATGATAACCCATTGCAAGACATCTCTATAATATACCACATTGCATGATAACCCATTGCTAGGCATCACTTGTATCTAACACACTGCACGATAACCAATTGCTAGACATCACTACCACACTGCACGATAACCAATTGCTAAACATCACTACCACACTGCATGATAACCAATTGCTAAACATCACTTTAATCTACCACATTGCATCATAATCCATTGCTACACATCACTACCAGACTGCATGATAACCCATTGCTAGGCTTCACTATAATCTTCCACATTGCATTATATCGCATTGCTAGCCATCACTACAATCTACCACATTGAATAATAACCCATTGCTAGTCATCACTACCACACAGTATGATATCCCATTGCTAGGCATCACTATAATCTACCACACTGCTTGATAACCCATTGCTAGACATTGCTATAATCTACCACACTGCATGATAACCCATTGCTAGGCACCACTATAATCTACCACAATGTATTATAACCCATTGCTAGACATCACTATAACTATAGGTTACTGCATTTGTATGGGGAAATGTCAAATAGCTTTTCGGATGGCTATTCTGAACAACCTTGGGAGTGCAGTATATCCGTTCGAGAAAACAAGTTCATATTTTTCGATTCAAATTCAGTAACCTTTTATTATATGCTCATGTTTGTTTCATTACCAAAAACCTAAAAATAAATTTCACAACCAAATATATTTAATAATAAATTTATTATTTTATTATTAAAATAATAAAGTTCACATCGCAGATTCTTTCAATACACGATAACAGTATTCATTCGCATATAGCTCTGCCCAACGACCTTTTAACTTCATAGCGCACCGCGCTCTCATGTGCATTAATCCCGATGAGTGCAATATGAAAGAGTTCAATATCGGGGAATATTGAACGATTCTGACAATGTAAAGATAACAGAGAAAATAAATGAGCTTATAATAATCTATCACACTGCATGATGACCTATTGATATTATTCACTATAATCTACCACACTGCAGACATAAAAGCAACATGACTGAAAAATGTTACAACTACATTAAAAATCCAAATCTCACAGGCACACCTATCCAGCTAACTTCCACATAATTATACATAAAACTTTGTATTTGAAGGTGGCGAAACAAGAACTGATAGGTTGGTATTTTATATATTTAAGACTGACGTGTGAATAATGGATCTATTTGTGCGACACTATATAGTGCTAATTTGTCAATATTATATTGCCTCCCTAGTCATGCTTCAATGCGGTTTCCATGAAACTAAATCTTAAAATGAAAATAGAACGAATCTAGGCCACAAATAATGTACATATATATTGTTAAAAGCAGCTGACGGGTAATTCCAATCAAACACTCTACATTTTAGCTGTTTTACATTACATGGGCCCATCTGCAAAATTTGAGCAGAGCTTCAGTAGTTATCATGTTAGATTCGTGAACAGACAAGTTCATGTTCAAACCCTGCCATTGGATCAGTGAATGTTGGTTGCAAAGGTGTGTCAACCACTATAATAAAATGCAAGGCACTTGAATATGTATGATTTAGTACAATGTGAGCCCTGCAAAAAAAGTACACGGGTATTATACTTCCTTACTAACTGAAGAAATTAGATATTATTTATGTTTTAATTTTGACGATCGACATAGAATGCATTAGTGTTAATCATCTGACTATTTATGTGAATTGTTTGAGAAAGAAAATGAAATATGATTTTTCATATTGCAATACATTTACACATTGGCTTTATAAAAGTTCTTCTCTATGTTGTTATAAAAGATACAACAAATATAAACACATCGGTACTGATATTAGTAAAATATTAAAACGCGATATGTATATGAGAGGGGTTGAGGGGAAAGTTGGTGTATAGCTTAATACTGATGCTAGTAAAATATTGAAACAAGGTCTGAATCGCAACGACATATATCTCTTTCTTTCCTTTAAGGACAGACTTGCTATATATATATATATATATATATATATATATATATATATATATATATATATATATATATATATATATATATATATATATATATATATATATATATATATATATATGGTATTTAAACAAGTATATGATCAGCAGAAAATAGCACCCTGATAGGTATACTGTGTCATAAAGACGAAATAGTTTCAAGGATTCGCTGTAATGATCCCTTTATGAAACAAAACGGTGAAAATAAACAAAATGCTCTATCGTATAAAGCAAGCAGAATTGTGACATGAAAGCTACAATAATTGACAGAAACTTAATATGTGATTCATCTGGAATACAAATGCAGATACTCTACTACATTAGCCTTGCGTTCTTTCTCAAAAGTATTTTTTTGTTCGAAATGTAAACGTCTCAGTGGACAATATGAGTAGAATGGTCCATGTTTTCCAGAGGAAGAGCAGACACTACCACGCAACAGAAATACAGATTCGTGCTTGTTATCCAGTCAATTGCGTGAAGGGAGTCCTAAAATTCCAAACTATATCTGTTCGTAAGACAATTCATATTGTCTGATGAATCAAAGAATATGTAAATAATTATCTCCAACACAAAGATGTCTGCAGTGTGGCAGTTTATAGTGTTGTCTAGCAATGGGGCATCATACCGCAGACATGCAGCAGGCATGTAGCATGATGTCCCACCCAGTCACATTATCCTGACACCACTAACCTCTTAATGCGGAGCGTCAAGAAAGGTAGCTGTTAGTACCATTTTTGTAAGTCTTTGGTATGACTCGATCAGGGATAGAACCCAATACCTTCCGCATCCGAGGCGGACGCTCTATAACCACTAGGTTACCGGAGCGGTTATATATATATATATATATATATATATATATATATATATATATATATATATATATATATATATAGATATAGATATAGATAGATAGATAGATATATAGATAGATAGGGAGGGAGGGAGGCAGGGAGGGAGGGAGGGAGGCAGGGAGGGAGGGAGGGAGGGACGGACAGACAGACAGACAGACAGACAGACAGACAGACAGACAGACAGACAGATAGATAGATAGATAGATAGATAGATAGATAGATAGATAGATAGATAGATAGATAGATAGATAGATAGATAGATAGATAGATAGATTATATTTTCAGTCGGAAAATTGTGGTGTCCTTATGGGAGTGAACAATACAGAGCAAAACGAAGAGCTTGTCACGACTTTTATTAGACAGTAAAAGTGGGAAAAGGAAATTGATTTTGTAAAGTAGTTTACGACAGAGTTAAGTCAAGGATTTTCAGTCTGAAAAATGGCCCGGACAAAGCAGACCTAATTTTGGATTATGAAATTACTCTGATTTTGGCTTAGACGTAGACGACAATGGAATCATTAATCAATATACGTAATAGTATATAAACATAGAAAGAAGAAAAAATATTCAACTTGAAAGCAAATACAACTCAGTGCAAGAGATTCGCGAATTAACCAAGATGGGGTTCAACAGGCAATTGACAGAACTGGAAAAATATTTCCAAACAGAAAGAACTGATACACCAGAAGGTTCTTACCTGAAGTGTACATATGGTAAAGGGACGCAAGAAGTTGATACAACAAGGATACCATTAGATAAAAGACCTACAATAAGTGGAATAATGGCAGCTTTCCGAATAAAAAAAAAAGATTTTGTGGATTTAACTGCCAGTATCAGCACAACAAAGAAAGGTTTTATAATAAGACCGAATGGAACCGAACCAGTTATGCCATATGGTCAAATGGAGCAAGTAGGATGGACAATCATTATTCAGAAACCAGAACCATTTCTGAGGAAAATCAAAACGAGGGCAGGAGAACTGCATATAGTTGACATATGCATGGAAATTCCATTAGAAGCAACGGTGGAAAAATTTCAAAAAAAGTTTAAAACTAATGTATGCAGTGCGAGATTAGAACAATATTCCAGGATTCCAAATAAAAATTGGGAACAGAATATTAGAGATTTAAAGAGAAAAACTAGATACCATGAAGAAAGTTTTCTAGTTGCACGGTTTCCTAGCCAAAACGTGGTACAAATGCTGCATCTTCCATATGAAATGCTATATATTTGGAAAAGTGGGGCATACGCTTAAGAAATGTCCAGTGGAACAAGAACTGGCATAACAACTTCAACTTATATAACAGACACGCCACATTAGTGAAATAACAATAATTCCAAAACAAGAAAAAGAGCAAACAGTGACAGAAAAACTTAAAACAAATCAGCAGCAACAACAAAAACAGACAAAAGATGAAGAATAGAAACAGAAGCGAAGACGTAAACGGGAATAAAATATGCAACATCAACACCAACCAAGTAAACAAGCACAAGAAATTAAGCAACAACAAATGACGATGAATCCAAATCAAATCCAACAACAAGCCCAATCTACACAACAACGACAAACAAGTAAAGACCACAAACAAGATCCAAAAGAAAAAATAAATACACCGACGAAACAAAAAAGAGTAAAAAAGCGAGAACAACATTAAACAAAGGATCTGGAGAAAATGCATCAAAATCAACATAGGACGATATGGAAAATCCTACAAAGAAAAAGTGCAAATTATCACGTGACGAAGATTTAGAGGATACACGTTATGGACAAATGGAGATAGAGGATGAGCTACTGAAAAGATATCTAATGGACATGGACGAGTTTCTAGACTATCAATTATATATATATATATATATATATATATATATATATATATATATATATATATATATATATATATATATATATATATATATATATATACACAAACAAATAAGGAAAGCAAAGTGGACAGGTCTTTGAAAGAGACTCAGAAACAAATATGTTGGAAACAAAACATGCAGATGGGGATAAAAGATCAACTTAAGCAAAAGATCAACTTAAGCTAAAACTAACTTAGAAACAATTTATTATCTTTTTTAAGTTTAGGCACTTTCAGACCTTTTTCTCGTGTCAGACAAATGAAATCAATATTAAATTTGGCCATAGTAGTGTAAATTTAGGAACACAACGTTCAAGAGGATAGATAAGATTATGCCCACTGATTAGGAGAAGCATGGTGAATGAAAAATAAAAGTGCAACTGCTTAAATAGGGCATGTTTTTCTCACTTTTGAACTAATTCGAGGAAGTAATGAAAACATCTCACATCAGCACACACGAAAAACACCAGCAATTTGTGATTACTTTTTGTAACAGCAATCGTTTCTCATTCAAATTCAAAATCAGAATTCCGAATTCGAGAAAACCAACTTTGTAAACAAAGATATAGAACTTTATCATTTTCAAAAAAATGAAAGAAAATTTATTTATTTATTTTAAAATAGAGATATCATCCAATTGTAGGAGAACTCGGGGGAAAATTTGGCACAATGCTGTCCTTAAACACAAATCCATATCAATAAAACAAACTAACAAATAAACACATAGCACACACAAGACTGAGGGTGCCATTAGCAAAGGTCACTTGAGAATCTAAGGGGAAGGGACTCCGACAAGGAGATTGAAGACTAGATCGGATGAACAACCCTTTTGAATACACGAGAGAAAAATTACCCCATCGAAAATTCTTTTATTAAATAAATTTTTGATCAAAATTTTGTTGATAAAGAAAACAAACACAACATACCTTAGAGGTCACATGAATACATAAAACACTTTTCTTTTTTTTTGGAAATTGGCTGGGAGTGATCTGTCTGGTCCTCCCCCCAAAAAAAACACTTTTTGTAACCCATGCTAACGAAAAGATTATCATTTGCACTCACAGTGGATGTATTTAGAGTAATGATATTTATTTGCGAGATACCGTCGTTTAGTTCACCTGGATACAATACAGTCTTGGTCAAATTTTCAACTTGCAACTTATCACGCGTGAATAGCAGTTGCCTTCAAGCAAACGGGTGTTATTTTCGCCTCTTGCGATTTTGTTGTTTGATACAGTAAAGATGTATACGCAAGCCTGACCGAGACTGACAGAATCATGGCTATAAACATCAGGCGACAAACCCAAGTGCGCGGATCTAACACTCACCGGTTACTCCATCAAGTCGTTCCACCGCCACTCCCGCGGAGGTGGAAATGCTATCATCGCAAGAAACTCCGTGAACAACCGTCTTAACTACACTTCAACTTTCAATTTCGACCACACATCGTTGGAACTAGTCCAAACTACACTCTCACTAGAACAAAGGTCAGTCCATTTTTTCTACCCCTACCACCCTCCTCCTAGTTGAAAAAACAAGCTAACATAATCTCTTTTTGGAGCAATTTCTAAATCTCCTGGACTATGGAAATTCTATAGATATTCTATATCCTAATTATTCTTGTATAAGTATTATATGGAATATTATATTGCTGTAAAGTATTATTGTTTAATAATCAATATTGATAATTTGACCGGAAGACTTAAACTGAAAATGTCTCTGTGCAGATGCATATCTTTTAAGCATAAATTTGTAATTAAAATTTTGATTAGAACGAGCACAAGATATGCCAGTTTGTTTTCTCTTATATAAATGTACGTTACAAAGTATGATTATTTTCTTTGAAAAAATATCAATTTCGTTTAAATTTACTTTTTTGTCTAAAACCTATTCCGAAAACGTATCTTATATAGTATGTACTTGCTATTTGAAGAAGAAAAAAAAACTTGTTCAAACTATTGTTAAATTTGAGCCAAATTGTTGTTCGAGGTGGGCCAAATTGTCTTTGGGCCAAATTGACTATAATCCGGCATAAATGATACAACATTCTCCTCTTCTTACCCTATTCGAACTCTCAGCTTGGATCCACTTTTTCTGTAAACAGGGTCTTCGGAAAAAGAAAGAAACCTTTTATCCATCATCTCTCTTTTGGTTACATCCATATGCAACACAATGCACCATATTTGCTGTACAAAAACACGATCGTAAGATATTTCACATGGATATTTATGTGGGTAAATTGAATACTTGAATGGCTAGGTTGAATACAAGGGATAAATATACGTCATACCTGGTTTTGGCACGCGGAAACATCCGATTATTTACTGAGATTGCCGAATATTTTTTGTCGTTTAAAGAAACGCATTTTTAAGTTTAATTAAACATATTTATGGTGTGTATACGTTTCGTTTATGACTATAATAATATCACATGTTTGCACAATATAGTTGACAGTGACCTTTAAAGCCATACATACTGTTCTGCCATATGAGTCTAAAGATAATAGTTTAAATTTGTTGTCTGGATTGTTATAGGAACCATGTGTTCTGTCAATTACACTTATAACTTGTATTTGATACGAGTTTGAAACAATTGTGTGAATGTATCTCTCTTAATTGATATGAAAAATGTATTCTAAAATGCGAATAATTCATGGGCTATAGTATATTCGGCTCATGGCTTGTTAGTTACCAATAATATAGTAATATAATTAAATCAATAAGTCAATTTCATTAATTTATTTGTATAATTAAGATGTGAATTACTTTTACCTAAAAATCGACACTTGAGTATATTTGATGATTTATCATTCATGACTGTACGAACTTAAGGAAGTTGAGCAGTTACTCCAAGCTAACTTAAGGACACATGGTACTAACTGTATTGAAAAATGGGAACCAGCCTAAAAATGGGTGAACTTTAAATAGAGTATCTTGGGTGACCAAGATTAGTTAATAATGTACATTTTGTTTTAGGATAAAGAATCTTTTGAGACCCTATGAAAGTGAATAAAAACAGAGACACTGTTTTATTAATGGCAGTTCAGTTCTTTAATAGACTTGAGTTTGGAACACTAATTACTAAAATTAGCACATCTTCGGTGCGGAATTGA